CTCTAATGTGCTAGCAACTTTTTATTCATCTTGGTCCAATTAGCATGATGTCATCAACATAGCAGAATAGTATTATATTCAGATGATCCAGATCTCTTCAGACTATATTATGACAGAGGGCAGGAGAGTTAGTAGAGCCTTGAGAAAAAACGATAAATGTACTCTATGTAAATGTGAACCTTTAAAATATTCTATTCTGATAGGGATAGAAAAAACACATTTTCCAAATCAATAGCTGATTACTAGGTACATAAGGCCATGTCATTCTTCTCTAGCAAAGATAGTGTATGTGACATGGCAACTACACTTATGTCACTATTTGGTTGAGTTTGCAGTAGTCTACTGTCATCTACCAGGCTGCCTACATTTTGCAGGGGCCCAAACTGGTGCATTAAATGGAGATATGATGAGGACCACATCCTAGCATTCTTTAGGTCTTTAACGATGGCACTAAATTCTGTCATCATCCCTAACATGCTATTATGTTTTCATTTATTATCCTGGCCAAGGAAGGGGAGGGTGGTTTCAGAAGCTTCCACTTGCCTTTCTTATTTACAAATAGCTCTGATTCCAGAGGCCAAGGAACCAATATGGGGCTTGTACCAACCATCAAAATGTCTTTTCACATTATATATTCAGAGATCAGTGGAAAATAACCACTGAATGGTTCTGTAGACGCAGTGGAGCCAACGTGAACTCAACATAGACCAGGAGCCTATTTAATATTGGGCTCTCATCTGCCCCTATTCTAATGAGGGGGACGTGACGACATTTTAAGTCTTTAGGTATCAACATCAACTCATAACTGGTGTCCATCAACCCTCAAGATGTTTGTGTATTCCTCTTTCCCCAGCACACAGTTACTCAAGTAAATAGAAAGACTGGAGGAATCATTACTATGAATGTGTTGTAAGATTCTTCTTCCTGGGCACCCGGCCTCTCTTCTTCAAACAGTAAACTCTGGGTCAAAAATTGACTTAGGGTCAAAAGATGAGTAAGGGATTATGATTTTTTTTTTGAGGCACCTTCCCTCGGACTCCTGACCATTTTTTATTTCTTTTGATTGTACGGATTCAGTACAGATTGTTGGCTGCCAGTTTTCGCTATGGCACTGTGTTATATTGACTACCTATGTTCGATTAACTATCTCTTAACCATCTATTCACCAGGGGCACTGTGTTCTATTAACCGTCTCTACAGCTCTCTGAGGTCAGGCCTCCCTGTAGTGCATTATGGTATTCATATTCACCTGACTTCTGTCAGTTAAGTGCAGTCATCGGGCCTCTATTGTTTCAGAGCCATCACTGTTTCTATCAGTGATTCACGTCCTGTAACGTTCTCTTCTAATCTGAGCCCTGGCCTGTAAAAGCTAGCTACCACTGAACTTCTTAGTGATGCTAGTGCCCCTCTCACCAGTGCATTCCTTATAGCTTTAGCAAATGGTATGCCCTTTGGGTCTTCCTGAAGAATATAGTCATCTGAAGGGTTTTCTGGCTTATATTATAAATTTATTTTATCATTCCCACTTTTGTGAGTCTTTAATTCCTTCTACCACCATCTGCTATGGCAGCTTCAGCATTTATACCTCACTCAGTGTGGGCCATAGTTTTTTTCCATACTTAGAGGAGTCGTTCTAGTAGTGAGTTCACATGATTTCCTGGGGTCTTTCCCAGGGTGCTAAACCCTGTATCTTGAAAGAGAACTCTCAAATCAATTAATTCTACTTTATTTAATTTTATATTCTAGCTCCCCTGATCAAGGCCCTCAGAATTCAGTCCTATGCTTACTCCTTCAGCACCTGCTAGTACATGCTGGCTAGGTCCTACAGATCTTTCTTGGAGTATTCCCTTTCTTTCTTTCTCAGGCCTAGCACATCCCCAGCGAGGACATAACCCTAGATAAAGGCCCAATGGCCAGAATGGGAGGTGGGGATAGATTCTGAGGGAAACATACATTATCTTACAGAAGGGTTCTGCATGTTCAAGCAAGGTGAGGCGCCAGCCCTTCATAGAAAAGAGTGAGATACCACTTCTGAATGCTCAAGGGGTTCAGGGAAACCTGAGGATACGAGATTTTTAGGGATATCAATCACGATGTCCTCATCCCATGTGTCAAGGTCCCATTCCTCCCTAAATAGACAAATAAACTTGTCTTAGTTGGGATTTTAGCTTTCTTTGAAGCTTGCTTCCAATAAGTCCTGGGCCTGGTCCTCAGATTTCTCTACCCGCTGCCTATGAATGAAGCCCTCTGGCGTTCTCACATAGTTTTTAATTGTTGGTTGATTTAATTCAGCTTTTTATTATTTTTTTCTAGAGGTCAATCAATCTTAGCAATAGCAACCCGATTTTCTGGCCTTCCTTTTATTTATTTCCTACAGGTCTGCTACATGGCACCAGTTAATGCATTCCCTTCCATCAGTGTCATCCCAGTTCACCATCGGTGAAAGCTATAGCAATTCCTCTGCCACCTTTTCCAGGTGCCTATCTATTCCACCTACCACCAGTGATGGGGTCTTCATTGCCAGCTGGGCAGCAGGTGATCCAAAATGTCATCACAATGTATGCTTTCCTGAACTGCTTTTCATACTAACTGTTGTAGGCTGGCTTCCTGGAGAGCAGAGTCAGAGACAGAGTTCAACATGAAGGGCTTTCATTAGGGAATGCTCTTGGAATCAAAACCTGCAGAAGGGAAAAGAAGGAAGCAGGATTGGACAGAGGGAGAAATTAAGGTATCCCATTTGGGGCAAAAAGGCCATGTCGATCTGTCATTTCATGTGAAGTACCTCAGGAATGAGGTATAATCTTGGAGGAAGTGGTTCTCCTGCAGAGGCAATTCCTGAAGAGGGCTGACAGCTGAGGTCTATCTGCTGGCAGCATTCCTAGCAACTGAAATAATAAGCTCTTTATTCCCGAGGGAGGATTAAGGCAGCAGATTGCACAATCCACCACAAGTGTGATATCATTTTTTTCCATTAGAAAGTTGGTGGCCATTGGATGCTAGAATTGAGGACAGTTTTCCATTTTTTTTTCTTTTGAAGCTCCTTTATATGTGACTGCAGTGGTTTTTCTTAGAGGGTGGGCCAACATCAGTACAAGTATAGTGCTCTGTTCTAGATGTAGGTTAGTTCTCCATGAGTGAGGAGTATTCTTTGATTTGCTTTTTGAAAAAAAAGAGTTTTTTTAGAGGCATTTGGACTTTTTCCTTTACCTTGTTACTTAGCTAAAGCATTTACAAGATAATTGACGAGAGTTAGGAGTCTAAGCCTTTAAAGAACAGAACATTTGACTGCAGTTTTACTTTTAAAACGATTGATAAGATTTAAATTTTCAAATATTTATACTTCCATTTACAGCTTAATTTAAATGTTTATTTAAATTTTTAATTTATACCTTCCAAATATTTAGACATAAATATGTGAGCCTCCATTTATATTTTTTCTCTAGATCTCTGAAATGCTATTGACAGGCCTGCTTAACCTAAATCCATCCATTCCTTTTGGTAAAATATGCAAAAAAATCCTGGTTTGTTATATAAAAGTCAGAAAATAAAGATGACTTAAAAATGGATAAAATCACCCATTAAGCTAACATCCATAAGAAGCTATTAACATTTTCAGAATATACATCAGAGTTTTTACAGAGATAATTTAAATATATGCTTTTCTTCATTTAAAAAGTATATGTGCTTTTGTAGCCTATTTTCCCCACTTAAGATTCTATGCTGAATTTATCCAAGTAAATAATTATAAATGCCCATCAACATTTTCAAGAGCTGCATAATGTTTCAATGTGTAGACATATCCTAATTTGTTTAGTCAAGCGCCTATTTTGAGACATTTGGGTCATAAACCACTTTTCACTCTTCAAAACAGTGCGAAGCCTTGTACGATCCAATTATTTGACTATTACCTAAGGGTAAATCTCTACAAGTAGAATTACTGGGTCAGAGAGCATGCACGTCTTAAAGGCCTCTAAACCATGTGACCAAATGAACCTTGTACCAATGTATGCTTCCACCAGCACAGTTTGAGAGTGCTCCTCCCCTCACACCCTCACCATACTCTGGAAAGAGGTGGATCTTCTCCAGTATGGATGACAACAGCCCCTCTTGATGGTACGTAAAGGTCCTGGCCCAACCAACCTTATAAAAGAAATCTGATAGTAGCACTAAAAATTATTCTTCCTTCTATTATAGTTTCTTATTTCAAGATAGGAACGAACATATTCACTTACATAGATACCAGAGCTAGCCAAGAAAGAGGATGTTTTCCTATCAAATACCCCCAGGACTCTAAAATAAAATTGTCCCTCTCTGTATGCCCCCAGAATAGATTCCAAGACTTCTTCATTCAAAGGGTTTTTCTTCCTTCCCTTACCATTCCCATGATCAGCAGTGAAATTTCACACATTTTCATCATCTCGTATCTGGACTATGGTGGTAACTTCCTAACTGGTGTTCCAATTTCCAGTGGCCACTCCTGTCCCCTCTCCAACTCTGACCCATCCTGCACACAAATTGACTACATCGTTTTCCTTTCATCCTGTCATTCCTGTGGTCATGACAGGCTTTGGTGTCTTCCAGGGGTGGATGGAGTAATATGCAGAAACCTCAGTTTAGCAATCAGGGATCCTCTCCAGGAATGGGACTCACCCCAACTGCTGGACTATATTTTCCATCACTCTCCTTCTTACACTTTGCACTCTAGGCAGGTCGACCTCCTCTCTGGAGCAGGATTCTCACTTCCATGCCTTTCTTCCCACCACTCTTTCTTCCTCCTATGCCCTCTGTTTTGTTTTTATCCCATCCTTCAAACTCAGCTTATTTGAGTGTCCCTCCTCTGTAAAACTTTCTCTGAGCATTGTCACCTGCAGAAGCTCTTCCCCTGATGGGGTCTGGCCATGATCAGGGGCTCCTGGTATTGTTAGTATCTTTTTGTTTCCATACATCTTGTCATTCCAAATAGATCACAGACTCAAGGACAAAGATGTGTCTTTTTTTTCTGCTTAAAACACAACTTTATTGATGACAAAAATAAAATCTCAAATGTATAAACATAAGTCCACACAAAGGACCAAAGATTACCTTAATTATGAAGAATCAGTTTAGTGTCTGCTCATGAAGCATACTAAAAATATCTCAACCCAGACAAGGTAAAAATCAACACATGTAATTTCAGTACAAGTTTGAATTCATTTGGTGTTCATAAAATAGTCCAGCTCTCAACCATCAGAAGTAACATCAGTCTCAAAGTTATAATACAATTTACAGAGTGTATTACCCCTAGGTTGCAAAACCAAAACATTACTCAGCTTTGTTTGGAAACATACAACTAATCAGAGTTTACTTAATAATAACTCAACTCTTTCTTTCACCTCAGGGTCATTGTATTCTGCTGCTAAGACTCGAAGTTTCTTGGCACATGCTTTAGGTCGTTGGAATATGAAATAAAGGGAATTTTTACTGAACTTATCCTGGGTAAATACTTTTGCTCTTCTTTTAAAATGGTAATTTATATTTTCAAATAGTGAAAGAGCATTAAGAATATTCTCTTTTGTCTCTTTCTTGCTAAAGATATTAATCAGTGATGTTGGTGCATTAGCTATGAGCAAGTCTTTTGTCATAGAGGGATTTTTAGAGAAATTCAAAAGCATTCCCAAAATATGGTCTTTAGTTTCTCCACTTCCCACAGTTAACAAACGAAGAAATTCTGAAATATAATTTGTAACCATATGCTGATATTCACTAATAATAGTTAAGTGCTTTATCAATCTTAGTCCAGCCAGCTGTACATTTGAATTCAGAGGATAGGTGACAGTGTCTTCACATACTTGGTTTAAGTATGTTTTAACCTTCCTATGATTTTCAGCAGCCACTGAGATGTTATTTAGTGCATTTAAAGCCTTCTGCCTAACACTGGGGTGGGGATTATTGAGCAAGCTTTCAATAATTGAGATTCTACCTGCATTGCGAATGACTTCGTGGGAAAATGAATAATCAGGACTGTTATATAGCGCATTATTGGCTATTTCATGAATAGAAGGATCTTCAGTCATCTCAATCATGCAAATGAGTTTCTCAAGCTCTCGTGGATCCATATTAGCTTTGCGTTTACAATGGCAGGACCAGGGCTGAGTTTTCTCCTCAGACCTGATCTGCTTTCTGAGCTCATCTTCAGGTAGTAAGCAGGACTCATTTTGGTATGGAAATTTCATTTCCGTCCAGATCATGGCTCCCGCCCATGACCCCATTCCTGCCCCAGGAACCATGGATGGATATGTGCCTCTTGACTCAGATGACTTTTTGGCTTTAATCTTAGGTGCAGATTTGTCTTCACTTCTGTTTTCATTAGCATCCCAGAAACAAGACTTTACATCGACTCCGTCAGCAGCCTCAAGTTTATCCTTGGTGCTGGCCTTGTCTCCAGCCCCACACCCAAAACTGACATTTTTCTCACTCTTGGATCTGTATTTGTTACTGTTCTCACTTTCAGCCCAAAACAAGGACCTTAAACTGATCTCTTCAATATCAGGGCTGGACACTCTACTCAGCTCATACTCATCTATATCTTCAGCCAAAGTCCAGGACCCCATGCCAGGGTCTTCCCCTGCCCCAAGTCTAGACCCTGTAGTGGTTGCATCTCCATCCCAGAGCCAAGATTCTTTCCTGGCCTCAGCTCCAGCCTCAGCCCCCACACAGGAATCCACATAAGCCTTCTCTTCAGATCTGATCCAGGATCCAATTATGGTCTTGTCCTCAGCCCCAAAACTGGAACTAATGATGCCCTCTTCCTCAGCCCCTGATCTGGATTCAATACTGGGTTCATTTTTAGCTCCAGGCTTGGACACAATACCAGCTTCTTCCCTTCTCCAGAACCAGTACTCTGTATTAGTCTCACTCTCAACCCCAAACCAGTATCCTTCATTGGCCTCCATCCCAGCACTGACCTGGGACCTTCCACTGGCCTGGTCCTGAGTCCTAGCCCAAGACCCTCCTCTTGCTTGGTTCTCAGGCACCAGCCTAGGCCCAGCCCAGGATTTTCCACTCGCTTGATCTCCAGCACCAGCCCGAGAGCTTCTTCCACTGGCCTGATCCTCAAATCCAAATTTGGAACAACTACCTGCCTGATCCTCAGTCCCAACCCAGGACCTTCCACTGGCCTGACACCCAGTGCTAGCCCAGGACCCACCACTGAACTGGTCTGTGGACTCTGGACTATACCCTCCAATGGCCTGGCTACCAACCCCACCCCAAAACACTCTTGCATTGGCCTGACTTCCATTGCAAGCACAGAACCATACATTGGACTGATCTTCAGGCCCCAGCACGGACCCTCCACTGGCCTGGTCCTCAGTGCTAGCCCAAGAATCTCCAATGGATTGGTCTCTGGGCCCTAGCCTAGACTCTCCACCAGCCTGCCCCTCATTGTCAAGCCAGGATCCTCTTCTACTGGCCTGATCCTCAAATCTAGGCTTTGCCTTACCACCAGCCTGATCTCCAGGTCCAGCCCAGGACCCTCCTTTGGTCTTGTCCATAGTTTCAACCAAGAATCCTCCACTGGCTTGGTCTCCAAAGTCAGGCCAGGATCCGTCACTAGACTGGTCCTCAGGCCCCAACCTGGATCCTCCACCAGCCTGACTACCCACCCCAGCCAAAGACCCTTCTTCACTGACCTGATCCTCCGATATAGACTTGGACCCACCACCAGACTGATCACCAGTCCCAAGCCAGGACCCCTCAATAACCTGGTCCACAGCCCCAACCAAGAATCTTCCACTGGCCTGGTTCCCAGCCCTAGCCCAAGACCCACCACTGGACTTGTCCACAGACCCCAGCCCAGACATTCCATTTGCTTGGTCTGTAGTGTCAGCCCAGGATCTTCCACTAGACTGGTCCTCAGAACCCAGCCTAGACCCTCCACTACCTTGGCCACCAGCTCCAGCCCAGGACACATTTTCATTGGCCTGATGATCAAATCTAGGATTGGATCCATCACCAAGTGAATCTTCAGTCCCAAACCAGGACTCTCCACTAGCCTGATCCAGAGCCGCAGCCCAGTACTCAGTACTAGCCTCATTCCCAACGTTAGCCTCAGTCCAGGACCCTCCATTAGTCTGATTACCAGCCACATCTAGAGATCTTCCACTGATCTTTTCTTCAGCCTCAGTACAGCACCCTTCATTGGTGTGGCTCTCAGCCACAGTCCAGGACCCTACAATGACCTCTTTCTCAGCCCAGGACACTCCACTGGTCTGACCCCCAGACCAGAAACCCTCACTGGCCTGATCTCCAGTCCAGAGTTCCCCAATAGCCTGGTTCCTAGTGCCAGCCCAAGACGCCCCACTGACCTGGTTTTCAGCCCCAGTCCAGGACCCTCCACTGGCCTTGTCCTCAGCCCAGAGCTCTGCACTGGCCTGGTCCCCAGCTCCAGCCCAGGATCCAATATCAACTTCATTCTCTGCCCCAGGCCAGGATCTAATACCAGACTTATCACTAGGCCCACTCCAGGACTCAATACTGGCTTCAATCTCATCCTCAGCCCAGGACATGCTATTCTCCCAGTATCCATCTCTGGCCTGAAACCTAAATTTGATCCATCGCTCAGAAGCAATCCAATCTTCAAAACCAATTCCCCTCCAGTGATAGTCAGGAACCTCAGGCTGAGTCTTTCCACAGGCCTGAGTGCCTTCCCCAACCTCACTCTCAGAAGTGGGAATGACCTTAGTTTTGAGATTTTCACAGACATCAACTTTCTCTGTGGCTTCCACCTCAGACTTGGGTACAGCCTTGTCTGTTGCACCAAACAAGGTCTTACTCTGGGAATGGGCCATGGACCGAAGCTGGCAAAAGCCCATTTTATCTATCCTTGCCTCTACCTTAGACTCAGCATTGGGATTGCCCCTGACCTTACTCCTGGCACCAAGTAAGGCCTCACTCTGAGAACTGTCCAAAACCTGGGGCTGAGCAGAGCCTGTTGTATCTGCTCCAGCCTCTGACTTGGACACAGCATTGGGATTGTCCCTGACCTTATTCCTGGCACCAAGCAAGGCTTCACCTTGGGAATCAGACACAGCCTGGGGCTGAGCAGAGCCTTTTGCATCTGCCCTGCCTTCTGCCTTACACACAGCATTGGGATTGTCTCTGACCTTATTCCTGGAACCAAGCAAGGCCTCACCCTGAGAACTGGTCATAGCCTGGGTCTGAAAAGAACCGATTGTATCTGGCTCAGCCCTTGCCTTAGGCACAGCATTGAGATTGCCCTTGACCTCATTCTTGGTTTCGGGCAAGGCCTCATCCTGGGAATTGACCACAGCGTGAGGCTGGGCAGAGACCATTGCATCTGGCCCAGCTCCGGACTTAGACACAGTATTGGGATTGCCCTTGACCTTATTCCTGACACCAAGCAAGGCTTCACCTTGGGAATCAGACACAGCCTGAGGCTGTGCAGAGCCTGTTGCATCTGTCCTGGCCTCTGCCTTAGACACAGCATTGGGATTGTCCCTGACCTTATTCCTGGCACCAGGCAAGGCCTCGCCCTGAGAACTGGTCATAGCTTGGGACGGAAAAGAACCCATTGTATCTGGCACAGCTCTTGCTTTAGACACAGTATTGGCCTTGTTCTTGGTCCCAGGCAAACCTTCACCTTGGCAATTAGACATAGCCTGCGGTTGGGCAGAACCCATTGCATCTGCCTTGGCCTCTGCCTTAGACACAGCATTGAGATTGCCCTTGACCTTATTCTTGGTATCAGGCAAGGCCTCACCCTGAGAACTGGCCATAACCTGAGGCTGGGCAGAGACTGTTGCATCTGGCCAAGCCCCGGGCTTAGACAAAACATTGGGATTGCCCTTGACCTTATTCCTGACACCAGGCAAAGCTTCGCCTTGGAAATTGGCCACAGCCTGAGGCTGAGAAGAGCACATTATATCTGCTCCAGTCTCTGCCTTAGACACAGCATTGGGATTGCCTCGGACCTTTTTCTGGGCACCAGACAAGGATTCATTCTGGGCACTGGTCATAGCCTGAGGCTGATCACAGGCCCTCAGTTCTGCCTTAGCCACTGCCCTAGAAATGGCATTAGGATCTCCTCTGGCATCAACCCTGGAATCACACAAAGCATCAGCTTGGGTCTTGGCCCCAGCCTGAGGCTGTGCACAAGTTTTTACATCTGTCCCAACATCTGCCTTACACTTGCCTTTGGCTTTGCCCCTAGCCTTAACTCTAGTACTAGGTAAGACCTCAACCTGGCTCTTGGCAGAAGCCTGAGACTGTGCCTTTGTGTCTGTCCCAGCCCCTTCCTTAGCCATGGTGTTGGCATTGCCCTTAGCCTTAATCCTGAAATCAGGCAAAGCATCAGTCTGGACACTGGCCATAGGCTGAAGCTGTGTATAGGACAACATATCTGTCCCTGCCCCCACCTTAGACATGGCATTGGGATTATCTCTGGTTTTAACCCTGGAATCAGGCAAGAGCTCGACCTGGGAATTGTCTCTCAAGTTTGCCTTGGTCCCTGTTTTAGACATGACATTGGGGTTGCCTCTACCCTTAACTCTGGCATCAGGCACAGTCTCAGGCTGAGCAACAGCCTTCATGTCAACTCCAGTCATTGCCCTAGATGTCATGACATTGGTATTTCCTTTGTCATCAACCCTGGCACCAGAAGTTGCTTCAGGCCGTTGCTTGGCCGCAGTCTGAGGATGTGTAGAAGTTCTTATATCTGTCCCCACCCCTGCCTTAGAGATGGCATTAGTATGACCCCCAGAATTAATCCTTTCCTTAGACAGGGTCTCAGCCTGGGCCTTGGTTACAATCTGAGGCTGGGCAAAAGCCCTTATGTCTGCCTCAGACATTGCCCTAGACACAGTTTTATGATTTCCCTTAGCTTCAACCCCAGCATGAGACATGTCAGCAACCTGGATCTTGGTCACAGCCTGAGACAGTGCACAAGACCTCATATCCACTCCAGCTTCTGCCCTGGGCATGGTGGTAAGATTTCCCTTAGCATCAATTGTGGCATGAGGCCTGGTCTCAGACTGAGTCTTGGCCACATTCACAGTCTCTTCCAGGGTTTTTGCTTTGGTCTCTGACACAATTTCAGTCTTGTTTATGGCACTTATCTTGGCTACTTCTTTGGTCACTGCCAAGGTCTCATTCTGTGCCACCAGTGCTCTGTTCATCTCTGGCTCTTTTTCAGTCAATATACAAGCTTCCACTTTGGTCTGAGTCATTGCCTCTTTCTTGATCCCTGCCCTGGCAATCAGTCTCCAAGCTTTAGCCTTGGTCTGGGTCACTGCCTCTTTCTTGACTACTCTGCAAGCCTCAGAGTCAGTTTGAGTCACTGCCTCTTTCATGGTCACTTCCTTGGCTTTGACTTTGACTTCAGCCAGAGTCACTGCTTCTGTCACAACCACTGTTTTGACTTCAGATTGGGCCTCTGCCTCTGCCCCAGCCATTGCCTTGGCCTGAGAGCTAGCTTTGGGTCTGGCTCTAGCAGTGGCCTTAGTCTCTACTTCGGCTCCAGCTCCACTTGTTCCAGTTTCTTCTCCAGTCTTGGCCTTGGGTCTAGTTTCAATCTCTGTCTCAGCCATGGTTTCACTGATGGCCAAGGTCTGGTTCTGTACCCCAGCCATGGTCTCCATCTTGACTCTAGACCCATTGTTGGCAGGTCTCCTCACACTCTGAACTCTTCCCTTGGTTAATCTGTAAATGTAGTAGCAGGTACCAACCCAGATCATCAGTCCTGCAGTCACCCAGCCTACTTCCTGAATGCGACCCATGTAATCACCCCTGTTGAAAGCACAAATAAGGTATAGGAGGGCTCAGTTGGGCTGGAGAAAGAGAGTGTTAGGTCTGGATGTAAGCTTGTGAGGGTGCTGGTCTTCAGCCACTCAAAGGTCACTACAGCTGCCACTGGAGGTGGACCTAGAAGTGGAGGAAGGAAATGGACTAAAATTTATCTTCTAATTCTGTGCACCATACAGATAGATACACAGAAGGACCAGGAAAATATAAAAATGTTGTGCTTGGTGGGAGAAGAGGATCATTAGCAAACTTTCTCTATATCCATTTTATTTTATCTCCTCCCCATTTTTCTCAGTATCCAATCATTTTCTCCCAAGGTACTTCCATACACATTTCCTTACGCTAAATGAGTAGCAGAAAAGATAGTGGGGGTGGGGGATGACTATGAATAGGAGAGACTGAGAAGCCCTCAGATCTTGATTTTTACTGGACCTTCTCTGGCCACCATTCCCACAGGTCCCCACTCTCATACCAACCTGTATTGATCCAAGGTGGTTCCTGCCTCTTTCTTTTTCTTGACTGATGATACACATTAGAGTAGATCTATAAACCCATGAGATCTATAGACCTAGAGACAGACAGACAGACAGACAGATAGAAGGACAGATAGAAGTGGAGATTTTGCTCTGGATATGCCAGGCATATCATTAGTAAACTACAGCTTCATCCTCCTCAGTTCACCCCACTCCCTGTACCAAAATAAAGATGAGAGTGTGGAGTAAGTGACAGGGATGGTGGGAAAGGTGGCTGGGAAAGGAAGAAGTTAAAGATCCTCTAGAATAGACAGTGGTCCTATTGGATACACACTGGCCTCCACCAACTCACCCTAGAGGTCTACCCAGGCAGTCTCCATCTTCTTACCAGTCTATACTGATCAGAGGCAATTTCCTCCTTGTTTTTTTGCTTGCAGTCATCTCAAACCCTGCAGCAGACATGCAGGCAGATCTATATAAAAGTAAACAAACAGGAGATAATAGAGACTGAGTCCTTCATAGAACAGACAAGCACCCTGATCCCTGACCCCAGTACTTGCTTTGCCAGAGTCAAGGTCATTTGCTACTGTGTCCCATCTCATGGTTCCTCCCCGCCTCAAGTCTTCTCTTTTCAGTCATACTCCAGCCCACTGTTACCCCAATATTCCTACTGCTTCCTGCACTGAAATCAGTATGGGGTGCGGCAACACTGTGGAAATCTGGCAGAGTGTAGAAAAGATAGAAGTACCCTCTACTGAGACCCTCTCAAGTCTCAGCCACCTTCTGTTCCTACCATCTGTTGTCATCCCCCAGCACTGCTTACTTTCACACCAACCTCTATGGTTCCAAGCCAGTCTCCCCCTTTCCCTTGCTTCTAGTGGTAAACAGTCCTACTGTAGGTGTATGGTAAGACTAAGGAACAGAGAAAAAGAGGAAGGTGAATGTTGAGTGCTTGTGACATCTCACCGTCTGAGACACTGGTCCCAATACCTGCCTTACTGGATTTAGAGGCACATTCTCTGGCAGGTAGAACCTGAGGCTTCCCAGCACTGAAATGGGCAAGATGGAAAAGGGAGGCAGGAAAAATAAATGCGTAGTGACAAAGGCAAAATATTTTAAAACCTCCTGTAGGATTCTAGGGCTTCTCCCCAAAATCCATAATTTATTTCACCAAGATGCTTATACTGGTGGGATATCTGAAAAGCTATAGGATAAAGAGATGGAGCCTCACAGTTCCCATACTGTAGAACAGGAGTCCCCAGCTCTCGGGGCCGTGGACTTGTACAGGTCCATGACCTTTTAGGAACCCGGCCTCACAGCAGTAGGTTAGCGCCCAGGAGACAAAGATTCATCTGTATTTGCAGCCTTTCCCCAGCACTAGCATCACCACCTCAGCTCCACCTCAGATCATCCGGCATTAGATTCTCATAGGTCCACCAGCCTCTGGTGCCAAAAAGGTTGGTGACCACTGCTCTAGAATCATAGTCTATTACCATCTACTTCCCCTTAAATTCATCTGTAGGAGTCTCCAGCAGTAGAAGAGACAAGATGTGGGAGAAGATTTTGCTTCTGCAAAATCACTATCCCTCCCCCACAAAGATCCCCTCTCTAAAACAATAAAAATAAATAATGTTTTTTAATACAATTTGTATCTTCTCAGTATTATCTAAAATGCAAATAAAAGCATCCATAGAAAAGTTTGCTATCTTTATTGGTCTTCAACATACAATTTAAGTTAAGAATCCTAAGCTTGGTAAGCAAACACAGTTTAGGGAAAGTCACCTAGCTAGCCCTATCCCATATCCCAACCAGACAGTGGTGCCTAAGTTCCCGTCATAATAGAATGCACATAGAACTTGGGTGGTTTACAGACAGTGCTTATGCTCGCATTAACCTCCGCGGATCTTGTACAGTTTTTTCTTTGCCTGCTCCCCTCGCCTCCCCACAAACTGTACCACACCATGAGTAAAGACACTTGAGTGCTTGGACCCAGGATACAGATTCCAATACTAGCCTGTCTGGATTCAAGAACCCAGTTATCAAAACGTCCCTCTCCACATTCTGATATGTCACCCCCACCAATCCTGCCGTCCAGTCACTAAGACCCACCATTTTCTCTGCGAACGCCACTGTGGCGTGTCCCTTCCACTGAAATAAGCAGGAAGCTGAGCGGATGTATGCAGTCAGTGATTAGAGTCAGGGAGGAAGGGACATCACAATCTTTGTATTTTCCTCTTGGGACACTCCCCCACTAGCCGCCCTGTCAAAGCCCACGGTTCCCCTGCACTAGACAGGGGGAGGGGAGCTCGGGATAATGAGAGCAAAGGCTCCTGGAACTTGAGCCCGCTTTGTCCCCTAGTCCCGGAACCGCTACCAGAGCTGGCGGGCGGCTGCCGTCCCGGTCTCCGCGCGGCCCCGGGCCCTTACCTGCTCGGCTTTCCCCGGGCCCGATGCCAGCCCGCCGTGCGCAGGGCAGCGGGGAGCTGGTACCCAGACAGGAGTGACGACTGCACCGAAGGCTGCGTCGCTCTGCAGCTCCGGGTCACGTGAGGGCCTCGCGTCACCAACGAGCTCGCCTTCACTCCCACCCATGGGCTGGAGGGGAGTTCGACAGGACGTTCTATCAACTCCGCACGCAGAACTCCCCCTTCACATGTCTCTGCGCTGGGCCTCAGCGCGCACCTCTCTTTCACTCAGCCCTGCCTTCTCCAGCTGGAGAGCCCACAAGTGGCCTCACCACCCTGCAATTGGGGTGTGCTCTTCTCTGTTTACCAAAGAAGTCTACATCTCCTACCCACACCCAAACCTTGGCTCCGAGCTTTTCTGAAGCTTTTTTGAGAAATCTTCTCTTTTTTACACTGTAAGACCGATGCTCCCCATCGGATACCTTTCCGCACCAAAATGGGCTTAGGGAAGGGATGTTAGGAAAGGAAGCAGAGAGTGCAAGGAGAGGCTTAACTTTATTTTTATGCAACTTTTTTTTCTTTTAATGTTACATTCACTGTTTTCGTAAGCCGAAAATTCAGTCAAGCCATTTCATTTGACATTAAAAATGAGATCTTAAAAATAACAAGATTCATTCACTTACATTATTTTTGCGCCATATTAAAAAAATGTTTTCTAGTTGCTATAAACGATTTCACAGCTTTCAAAATCGACTAGTAATCACTAACATTTTAAATACCAAACTTTCCTAAACCAACATATTTTCAATATGATCTATAAATTAATCTTTGGAAAGACATGCCGTTTTCTAATCTTGGCAATTTTCCGAAGGTGCTTTCAAACTTTTTAAGTTCTGGCTGAACTTATGATCTTGTGTCAAGTGTCTGAGAACTTCTTCATGAATGACTCCTGGATGATTGAGTGAAGACCCAGCTCGTGATGAACCCAGTTCCTGAAAACTAGTGACTTCCCAGATTAACCTGTTGTCCATTCAAAGAGTTTTATTAGGATTTTACAAAAGCATGTGATCAAATCAGTCTCAACACACCCTGGAAAGGATTAACTGCTATTCCACTGATGGAAATGAGGCTTAGCAGGTGGACTTTTCATTTAATCATTACGCTGGTGCGATATCTCCGGTATCTGTCATCCGTGGGCTGTCACCCTAGCAGCGGCTAGTGTTCAACATCTTCCAGTGGAGATAATGGTGAGGGTCTGTGGGTGTCTGTAAATCACTGCAACACTCCTGAGATCCATGTCATTTTTCCCTCACAAAAGCAGTTTACAGGATCTCAAGCAGTCGCCAGAAGAAAGAGGCCTATTTATTCCCTGCCTTCTGTTACAGTTTCACTGTACCACCCATACAAGCCCCTCAGAATAATTCCAGAACTCAGGGACAAAGTATGCAGAAGTTAGTCCCCAGACATCCAGCTGTTCCCACTGGGGAGTCATACTCTAAATATAGACACTTCAGGCAGCTTCTTTCTTTGAATGTTGAAATATGACACCCCAGCAGGAAGTTCCTCAAGTGAGAGGTTCTGTGGGGCAGGGGGAGGACACTCTAGGAAGTGAGCCAGGGTACCCAGAGTGCCACAGAACCTTACTAATGGCTTTTCAGAACTCAACTGCCTGTGACCAACTTATGTTCTCCGCCACAGGGAAAGATTCAGAAATTGATTACACAAACATTTAAAACTTTAGTAAAGTAAAAAACAAACAAAAAGCAAACTCCATAAGCACAGTATGTCAAACAACTAATTTGTAATACTCTAAAAACTCTTATACATTATTAATAAATAATAAACAATTCAATAGAAAAATGTGCCAAAGACATGAATGGATTTGTTGACAGAAAAGAAATACAAATGATTGATAAAGATATGAAAAGATGCTCAATTGAAAGAAAAGCAAATCAAACAACTATGTTTTACCGTGTTTTAGATATGAGTTTGTCAAAATTTAGAAATTTGATGATATTGTTGACTGGTTCATGGAGAAATGAGTACTCTCACACTTTGTTGGAGGGAAATACTCTAATAGAATCTTTTTCAGGAGGGCAATTTGGCAAAATCTATTAATTTATAAATATAATATCTCACAAATTCTTTGACCCAGCAATTTCAGCCTATATACCTACACAGTTTCACGTATATGTATATGTATGTGTATATATATGTATATGTGTGTGTATACACACACACACACACACACACACACACACACACACACATACATACCAGGATATCTATTGCAGTGCTTATAAAGATTTTTTTTAAAAACCGAAGCCCATAAAATATCCATCAATAAGGGAAAGATTAAATACATTATGTTAAACTTATACAATATAGTTGATTGTAAAAAGATTTAGCTCGGTGTATCCTAATGGAAAGATACTTAGGGTATTTTATTATTTGCTGTTTATTTCCTGTAACTACACACAATTTTCACAAGAATACATTCTAGTATAAGATTTGAACTCAGAAAAAAGACTAATACAGTAGTCCCCCCTTATTGGAGGAGGATACATTCCAGGACTCCCAGTGGATGCCTAAAACCTCAGATAATACCGAACCCTGTATATACTATTTTTTTCCTATACATACCTATGATGAAGTTTAATTTATAAATTAGGTACAGTAAGAAATGAACAACAACAATAATAAATTAGGACAATTATAACAATATACAATAATAAATTAGGACAATTATAACAATAATAATAAATTATAGGACAATTATAACAACAATAATAAATTAGGACAATTATAACAATAATAAATTAGGACAATTATAACAATTATAACAAAAGTTACATGAATGAGACCATTATTAAGTAAAATAAGAATTATTTGAACACAAGCACTGTACTATCAGGACAGTTTGATAACCTAGAGAGCTACTAAGTGACTAACAAGCAGGGAACATATACAACTTGGATACGCTGGACAAAAAGATGATTCAGGTCCTGGGCCGGATGGAGCTAAAGATTCATCACGATACTCAGAACAGTGTGCAATTTAAAACTTATGAATTCTTTATATCTGGAATTTTCTATTCAATATTTTCAGATTCCGGTTGACTGCAAGCAGCTGAAACTGTGGAAATTGAAACTGGATAAGGGGGACTACCGTATCTATATATACTGTTTGGTACTATCTGTGGCTGCAGGCATCCACTGGGGGTCTTGAAATGTGTCTCCCACAAATAAGGGAGAACTACTATGTGTTTACTGCTTCAATAGCACACTTCTTTTTTTTACACATAGAACTTTTTTTTGTGTGTGGCGACGTTGGTTAATGAGATTCAGTAAGTTTCCAGTGTACAATTCAACAGTAATTCATATATATTTTGCATTGTATGTTCACCGCTCATAGTTAGATTTCTTTCTGCCACCACATATTTGACCTCTTTTACCCCATCTACCTCCCCTCTTCCCTCTACCCTCTGATAATCACTAGTCTATTGTCTATGTCCATGAGTCTCTGTTTGTCCTGTTTATTTGTTGATATTAGGCTTATATCCTACATATAAGTGATATCATGTGGTTTTCAACTTTTTCTACCTGGATTATTTCACTTAGCATGATTACCTCGAGGTGCATCCATATTGCTACAAATGGCAGTATTTCATCTTTTCTTATGGCTAATATTCCATTGTATGTATGCACCACCGCTTCTTTAGCCAATCATCTATCATAGGACACTTTGGCTACTTCCATGTCCGGGCCACTGTGAATAATGCTGCTATGAACATCGGTGTGCAAATATCTTTTCGGATATGGGTTTTCAAGTCTTTGGGGTAAATACCCAGTAGAGGGATTACTGGATCATATAGTACATCAATTCTCAGCTTTTTGAGGAACCTCCATACTGTTTTCCACAGTGGCTGTACCAATTTGCAGTCTCACCAGCAGTGTATGAGGGTTCCTTTTTCTCCACATCCTCTCCACCATTTGTTATTATTTGGCCTATTGATTATAGCTTCAATAGCACACTTTTAATTGGGATATCTTTCTAGCAAGTTTTGGTGTCTGGGAGGACAAATCCTTCATTGTATTACCTTTTCAACCTACTTTTGGATTTGCTTGGGTATTTCAAGTAAAGTTCCAAGTTTCATTTTTTAAAAATCTTGTTGGATTTTTATTAGGATTGCATTGAATTTATAAATTAACTTGGGAAATAATTAAAGTCATAGTCACAAAGTATTATTTTTATCCAAGGTCATGTAGTATTTTTTACATTTATTTATATCTTTTTTGTGACCTTTAGTAAAATTGTAGTTTTCTTTATGTAGATTTTACATATTTATTATTAGCTGTATTCCCAGATGCTTCACAGTTTTTGTTAACATTGTAAATGGTGGTTTTTGCAGATGGTATTCTTTCTTTGTTTTTCAGGAAAGTAATTTCAGTTTTTATAAAAATCATGCATACTCATTATAACAAAGTAATGCAGTGCAGTAAGATACAAAGAAGAAAGATAAAATATCACTCAGATTCCATCACATTCCATGAAATAACCATCACACTTTCAAACAACAATGAAACTTCCTGGAACATTACATGTTCTTTAGATCTGAACACTTCATTCTTTCTTAAGAATATATAGTCCTGGGACAGTACTTGTTAGAGAGAAGCAGTATGTCAGACTCATCAGGCTTCTTGGTAATACATACCTCCCTCTCTCCTTCTCTCTGCAACCGCTGTGATGCTGATTATACCAACAAATGGACCACAGGAAAATGCTGAGTCTCCAGTCCTCCATGGGTTAACATTTTGTCATTTAAAAAGCACTTCCACATATATGAACCTCTTAAAAATCCTCTGAGAGGATCTTTAGAAACATGGTGAAGTGAGAGACGTCCCCAGATCTCTACCCTTGAAACAACAATAAGCTGAACATCTAAAACTCAACAACAACAACAACAACAACAAAAAACCCAAACTGCACTCCAGCACATCTGAGCATGAGATCTGTGCATAAGAGCTACCACAGGTCAGAACCCTGGGTGTCAAGCAGTGGTCTTGAAGAAATAAAGAAGCTGCCTCTCGCAGCCACCAGAGCTACCTGCA